ACACACACACACACACACACACACACACACACACACACACACACACACACACACACACACACAAATACCTATGTACACACACACGCACAACACGCATATCACCCTCTGCATATATCTACATATTGATCTGATGTTTTTTCGTTTTTTCTCTTGTCGACCGTCTGGTAGGGAGACTTCCGTCATTCACTCCCTTCTGTTCATCGCCATTATCCCTTGCATCCTCAACGTCATTGTTCCCCTCTACATGTATTTCTTGCCCTTCATCGCTTAATGAAATACAATTAATAACAGTCTGTGACGTGGTTGATCCCCCAATCTTCCTCTTCGCCTCATTCTCCGGGTCAATCAACAATTTCATCATCTCATCGGAATTTTCTTGCGCCTCACTCGCACTTTCTGTATGCCCACCTTGTTGCATTCCATCTGCAACCGCCATGTTCGCTGAAGGAGTGAGACTCTCCATCTGCGATTCACTATGGTTTCCCGTCTGAGTTATTAGAAGAGGCCCGTACGATCCAACGTTCGATTTGTCTTCATTGACATTCCGTGTTCCCTTGTCCACCCCCATCATCTTGACAGTAGTTTGGCTCATTGCTTCCGCAACACTGGCAGCAAACTGCGTTGTCGACTGCTCCCCAAGCTGTGAGCATTCCAACCGGATTGTCTCGATGCCTTGGCACGCAGGAGGAAGTTCGATCTTCCAATCGATGGTCTTGTATGACCGACTTGACGACAAGTCATAAAATTTGTGTTTATATTCCAGTCGATTGGCTGAGCGCAGAGAATCGAACAGCAGTTGAGCCTTCTCCTCAATAGCCGCCTCGTCTACCCTATCGCACTTGACACGACAGAGGATTTCGCTCCTCGCCACTTTCAGCCACGGTTCTTCTGCCAGTCTGGGTTTGGTTTTCCATCCCAACATCCACTCCCCCTTGAAGACGCACGGCTCGAACACGTCCGTATGCCACAAAATGTGATGCCTCCATTTCTCCGATGTCGTTTCTTGCACCTTGTCATGAATGAAGTACGGTTGTGCACTGTCCTGCACAATGCAATCGGGTATATCATCACCAGGCATTAGCTTCGGGGATGGATCTGGAACAACCAAGTCATCTTCGTCAGCGTCTGTCTGCATGTCGTGGTCCGCGTTTCCTCCATATGGAGGCCTTCCTTACAATCCGAGACGATTGTCATGAATCAATACATTCTGAAGTGCCAGGAGGGGCGTCGGCGAATCAGTTTGCATCGGGTCAATGGAACTCGCCCTGTCCGTCACATCACGCGCAGGACTGCCCGTACCTCCCGAGTTCGTGGGACCTTGTTCTGGATTTTCGTTCTGCACGCTGCATGTAGGCACACTTTGCATTCCATCTCGCGAACGTTTCACTCGCTCTTCGATATCGAGGTCTGAGGTTTCAGTCTCCTCGTCGCTCTCGATCGGACACCATGCATCTGTTGTCTTGGCGAGATTACTGTAATCATCGTATGTCAGCATTGTCCGATTTGTCGTGAACTTCAGTTGCTCGCATCGCGCCACAAACATCGCAAACACACCCACCTGCGCTTTGTGGTAACCACCATATGCTTCCTGTGCCATCGCTTTGCGAACTATGTAGTCATGCTCGAATGGCGACTTGGGTTGGCCTTGGAACAAATAGTCCCACATCTTGTTTCTCTTCTTGCCCAACTTGTGGTACATATCTCTGTCCGGACGATGCGCAGTCTTCTGCCTCTCAACCGTGCAATCGTTTCTCGTGTCCTTCCCAAGAATGTCGATTGCCTTCGTCAAGTACGAGATGTCTTTGGATGACGCGTCGTATGCAAAAACATGATAGCCTGCGCGTAGAAGCTCCCACACAAGTCCAACATGTGGCTTTCCGATAAGAATCAACCCCTGATCCTCGTGCAGAAACGAACTATATAACTTCTGCAACCGTGTCGGATGTCGTTCCCACCGCCCATATTCCTCTCGTTCGTTTCCTTCGTCGCCGCCATGCTTTGCTGTGCACCTCTTGAACTTGTCTTCCTCAACGTTAAGCTCCACTAGCTCCGCCTCCGACTTAGGGACCCTCGTGACCTTCTTGAGGTCGCCGCCCTCGGCATGCAGGACGATCACCATCGTATCCTTGTAATCGACTTGCCAGTTTCCGTATTTGCTGACAACAGTCCGGACCCCGAGATAACGCTTCCAAATTCTAGTTATCACCTCTACAACGTCCCAGTTGTAAAGCTGTCGTATGGCGATCTTTTGTTGTTTTTGTGGGGCAAAAACAATCAATATCCATTTATTGCCGCACAATTTCGACATCATTATGTGCAGAGCATCGAAATCGGTCGGCGACCATGCAAGGCAGTCCTTCGGGTTTGCGAGATCGAGGATGGCGGCCTTGCAATTCAAGTTCATGGATGCTGTCACAATTTCGTCGACCGCGGGCAGCAACTCCTTCGGGTGCATGTTAACCGGCAATAATGTCGACCGTCGTCCTTTCTTCTCCCAACACAGATATAGCGCAACGTTCTTCAACCGTCGCAACTCGGCTGTCAGCAAGTCCACTTTCCCTATGGCGTGGTACACAAAGTACTTGAAATGGAATGGCGCGTCCCTGTACAACGCCTCCGTGGCCTTTAGACCAGCTTCTTTCAGATCTTTTTGTTCTTGCTCTCCGCCGAGTCTTTTCAGAACCCTCCAGACATATTCCAAAGGGATCCTATCCCTTTCCTCATCCCATTCGCCTGCATTTATGCCAAACCTTTGCTCCATTTTATCATAGTCGAAGAAGAACCCCTCCTTCCACTCATTCGCCTCTCTGTTCTCCGATTTGAAGACGATGTAGTTGAACAGACGCGTCATGTATCTCTCGCGCATTATGATGTCGAGGAAGTTCGTCATGTTCATCTTCCCAGGAGGAACCAGTTTAGTTGTGGCGATGACTTTCTTATTGATCATCAAACGCAAAGCGGTTTCCTTTTCTCGTGCTGTCATATCCTCAAAACATTTGAAGTTTGACGGAACGAGATCTTTGAAGGACACCGTTACGTTTGGTCCCCCGTCCTTAGCCGGAATGCAGTGGAACACCTCCTTCTTCCCCTGCACCTTTTCAACGAATTGGCCCAGCATGCGCCCCTCCTGCCTCCCCGGCAAGTCCTTTGGGCACTTGTTGTCGTATAGCGGCAACTCCCCCGCTTCGAACTTCTAAAAAAAGTCCTTCACCAATGGCCATATCTGGTCCCTACATGTGGCGACATTCATGTATCCCCTCATCCTGTTCGTCCAGTCCTGTTGCCACTTCGGAGCCAAAGACTCAGTCCAAAATGATTTGTCACATGACCGCCCCATGCAAACTCTCATGAACTTCCTCCACTTTTCCTGGTGCGCCAAACCGGTGGGATTCGTTTTGGACACGTTCCCCACATGTCCAATCTGGTCCTTCGAATCCCAAAAAATTTTGATGTCTTGGCAGGCTTGGTGGAACGATGACAACATAGCGCGGTCACCTCTCGTGTTGTCGTATGTCGAAACATACACATACCCATTCGTGTGGTCGTCGTCGAAATAAATGATCCGTACACGATCATAATTTCGAAAGCCGAACACGTCCACTGCTGCGGAATTCCTCGCCACTGCTCTTTTCATGGCTTCGGAAGTATGCTGACCGGCAACCGGGTAATAGAAGTACTCGTCTGCCCTATCGGGATCGAAGTCCTTTGGAAGGATTCGTATCCCTTGCCTGTCCGGATCATCCTTCCATGGCGTAATCGGAGCCAACACCAACTCTGGCCGCGGTTCCCACGGAGCAGGATCATCCTCGGTCCCTTGGCCCAGTCGACGACTCGATAGCCGTACGAGGCCTGCAAGGGTAGCCATGTTCAGCGATCGCTGATTGAAGGCGATACCTTCCTCCGGAATTCGAAGGATTTGCATAACGTCAATTACCATTCTCGGGGGGTCTCTTCTCTTTTTGCTTTCCTCATCGTACTCGAGGAAGTAGCATTGCGTCATGTTGACCGCACTGGGTTTCTTCGTCTCCTGTTCAACATCGTCAGGGAGGGAGAGCAAGCGAGGGGCCACCCCTTCAGCGTCGTGGCTGAAGTCGTCTGATTTTTGGCGCCTTGACGGCCGCACGAGATTCTTGGGTTGTGACGTTTTGCGAATCCGAGCACTTGATTTGCGCTTCACATCGGGTTCACCAAGCGTTTCTTGAGATGCATCCAAGGCGACCCGAACTTCGTCCACAACTTTCCTTCGAGCCTGCTTCTTAGGCGCAGCTGGCGTCGGCGACTCTTCCGCTGTGCGTTTTGCCCCCCTCTTGGAAGTCAGCCCCGCGGAAACACCGACATCTCCTCCTTTGTCTTTCAATTCGCCGTTTTCCATTTCCGAACCACCCTGACCGCCATATTCCACCCCACCACTCGCCGCAACTCTGTCACACTCCATTTGCTCCGCCGTTCATCGCAATGGGCTGCCCCACCTCCAACGTTTTGTCGCCGCTCGCCACTACCACACTCACCTTCATCTTCGTCATATTCTCTATCGCCCCCCAGCCGCGCTTCGCCACCTCCAGCAGCTTCCCGCCCCACATTCACATCGCAACAGCCTTCGCCCTGGATGTGCCCAGGTGTTGCCAAGAACTGCGAATCCAATTTACGAACCCGTTCGTCTTCCTCCGTTTCTTCATCCGACTCCTCGTCCATTTGCTATTGCGGGGTATCCCGCGAGCGCGAGCTGGCAACAGCACGAGAACTTTCTGGAAGATTCGAAGGACGTCTGGCGAGCTCCATCATCTTCGGGGTCGTCGCCGATGACCCACCCGCTGAACGCCTTGAGTAAGTAATGACTTTCTGTTTCCCGCCAATAGGTTGTTGCGTTGTCGACACAACCTGCCGCCGATTGCTAGAGCACGTCAATAAGCCTGTGAGACTTTCGACAGGAGTGTCGAACGGCACAAGAGGCATCGTGAGCTGGTGACCAGCGGCGACCGTCGAGAATTGACCATTTTTCCTATACCCATTGGTCTTGCTGAGGAATTCAACGGGTAAGAGCATTCTAAACTCATTCCCATTTCCCTTGCCGTCGAAGGCTTTCATAGTGAATGCCTTCTGACCATACCCCTTGAACAGAGCAAGGTCGAGGCTGACCTTGTGGTCAGTCTTGACTTGTCGGCACCCTGTTCATCGTACACTAAAGTGAGGAAGAACTTCCTTAAGTCTCACTCGTCGACCTTGCCCTTCTCCGCCGTGACCTTGTCAATTTCAGACTTGATGATGCCACCACAACAGTACCAAGTCGCCCCTTCGTCCTCCGTCAAAAACACAGCAGCACCGCACCCGGGCTCGCCGGTCACTCCGACCCAGTCGAGAGCCCACAGCTTGTCACAATACAGTTTCGATCTGTTGTTGTACCTCTTACCCGCATCACTCGGACCCTTACGACCTCTCCCTGGAGGAGATATCTATAAGAAAAAGGACGAGGGATGCATGAATGTCACCTATCTCTATCACACGCAGCGCAAGACGGGACATAGAAAACAACAGAAGCAATCGCTGGGCACATTCCGACGGCGCTCATTCCACGGGGGGGGGGG